TAGGGACATGGTTTAGTGGGCATGGTTGTAGGTTGGGTTGACGGCTAGACTCGATGATCTTAGAGGTCTTTTCCAACCTTAATGATTCTATGACTCTATGATTTAGTTCTTCTTTGTTTCTGAAAGCAATGTCAGGGAGTTCCACACGCCATCTAACCCCTGACGAAGCTCAGGCATAATAAGAAGCTGCAAATATAGAAATGCTGGACAACAGGTGAAATAATAGTCTGGAGAGGGAACTTAGAAAGGTCAACTGGCAAAAAAATTGTTAAAAGAATTGCGATCATCTAGCTGCTTTTTAAAAAGCAATTTCAATTAAATCTATCACCGCAGGAGGCAAGTTGTTTCACTCAGCTCTGTTTTTTTCCAAAAGGTAACATGAGAGCAGTTGCATTCCCTGGACAGATCTGCTCAGTGGATTTTGCAGATTACTTGCATGTACGGTGCATGACCCTCTGATGTTGCATACTTCAGACTTTATGGGTATTATTAGCACCTGCACTAGCAAAGGAAATGTCCTGGAGGGCTTATTGGTGATGGCCTGGCAGAGGCATGTGGACAATAGCAGGGAGGATGTGGTGGGCGTGTGGTAGCTACCCCGCTGCCATGGGGACCAGGGTGCTGCCTTTCTCCCTACTGTGTAGGGTGTCAGGGTGCTCAGCTCCCTCCCGCACCCTTGCACTGGTGTGGTACCCATTTGTGTTGTGCAATGCACAAAGCAGCTGCTGCTACACGCCACTGCTGAACAGCCACGTTAACACTGGACTGTTGTGAACATCTTTCAGCTTCACACCCTCATGTACTCGATGAAAGTCCACTCTCCCCTCCTTGGCCTCTCCCATTGGCTGGACCCCTAAACTTCATTGCCTCCTGCAGGGCACATCTTATGCCCCCCAAATTCAGCCTCACCCCTTCTCATCTCTCTTCTCGTTTGTGCATATACTCTGCTGCCACCAGAAAGCCGATTTTTGCCTGCTGCGCTGTGGCTCTGCTGGCTGGCCTCTGTGTTAAATAATCATTGCAGAGCTGGAGTTCACAGAGGTAGAGAATAATGTGGGCTTTCGTGTAATTCAATGTCTGTGACTGGCTCCACTGGCTGTCAAGCAAAGCACATACAACCAAGTTTGAGCTGCTTCAGCTCAGATGGTCAGGACTTGTGCTGGCATCTGTATGTCAGCATGTTTCAATATGCAAAGTTTTGAGGCAAATATGGTACTATAACTTGGCCCATTTTAGAAGGCAAGGAATGAATAGCGGGATACAAAGACTAATTTCTTGCTCTCTTCATTTCAGTATTCACTGCTCCCTGCATCAGTGCCATTCTTGGTCTTGGAAAGTGGAGCCATTTTTTCCACAAAAGAATTTGATTATGAGAAAGATCCACATTGGTGAGAATGTATTTTATTTACATGGTCTATTAGCTTACAGTAGGCAGAGAACTGTTCTCCTACATAGCCACAGAATGATTCTTGTTTTGTTTTCTTATTCAACAGCTACTTTTTAAATATAACAGTGACAGATCCAGATGGACTCAACTCAACTAAAACAGTAAATATAAATATAATTAACATCAATGATGAAAGACCTTACTTTACCATGTGAGTGAAAAACTTCCGTTGTACTCAAAATGTAGATGTTTTCCCAGTTTTACTGCTTTGGCACCAATGGGAGTGTGTAACATAAAGGCAAGTAAATATAACAACAAAATACTACTGAAAACAGTATTTTAATTTTGTTATGATTCCTGTTCTTTTACTGGAAGGCTTTGCCCTCATTTCCCTCTTTTATTATTTTTTTTATTCTTAATAGATTCAAGTTTTCCAGGCTCTGCCTTCATGCTAAGAACAGCCAAACAAGCTTGTTGTACTTGTTAGCATTTAGAGAGGTTAAAGCTATGCAAAGACCTTTGGACAAGTTCAGACAAGGAGATTAATTTTACCCTGTGTGAATACAATCATATAGAGTTTACCCTTCATGTAGATGTGCATTTCACCATAATGATGTTTATTCATGCAGAAATGTCTAGACATAAAAAGGTCTCACTTTTGATCTGTCTTCCTCTTCTTCCCAGACACTTACACTTGTAAACAATCCCAGTGATCTTTGAAACGTCTCTTACTGTGTCATAAGCAGGAAATTGTGTCATAACACACAAGTCAGAAATAGCTTTTGAAGACTAATGGAGTTTTAGTTGGAATCAGGAATACTGTTGAAAATTTGGAAAAGTGGGGAAGAATATACATATGCCACCAGCAGGCTGTTTTGCGGTGGAAAGCACGATGGACGATTGTTTCTGGAGCAGGAGCTTGACAATTATTACAGTCAACCTGATTCTGTTGTTGCTTTATCTTTGTCACTTGCATGAGACACTGATTGGATTCAAGACACTCTCTGTGTGTCTCCTGATCTGAGGCTCTACAAGGTCCCTGCTGAGAATATTTACGATGGCTGCCCTCCTGCCATCTGTGCAAAGGAGAAGACAGTGTAGCACGTGGGCCATGCCAAGAGGTTTCCAACCACTTGTTTGGAGCAATCTTCTGGGTGCTTTGTAGAGCCAGAGCAATGCATGGCTCCTGGGCTGAGGCCAAGGATCTGCACCTTCCTGGGTAAAGGGGTGGAGAATCTGAAGAAACAGAAGAATGAAATGTTAGAAACAGACATGGATTTTTTTGTTGTTGCTACTTATTTAATACTTGAACTTCACGTCTGCAATAATCAATAAGGTTAACAGCTCTCTCCACGTTACTGTACAGCTACAAGCAGGAGGAATCCTCTTCCCAGTGCCAACGTTTGCACATTGTGTTCTAGACCGATTATTTCCTCCAAATGTTGCCATTTCTGTTTATTTATCTTTATGTCTGGAATGCTAAAGGAGCTCTTTTAGATATTTATCTACTTGTTCGAACTAGTGAAAGCTGCAGTGACTTGAGCATCCATAACACCTAAGATCTAAGACGCAGTTCTCATATGGCACAAATAAGGCCTGTTATTTGTTTGAATCTTCTCCCTTTTAGATTGACACTACAGACCAAAAAGAGCAGCTCAGTTTGTAAAGAACTTTAGATTAAATTACTCTTCATGAGCTGTCCTCAGTATGCACAAGTATGGCCTCTCCCCTGCTAAAATGTGAGCTGCGTACTGGGGCTACGTACTTTCTGACACTATAATAATTAGTGCTGGGATGGGAGCTGGGGAAACTTGACGAGTTAGCAAACCTTTATTTTCTCCCGATCAAAGCTGTCAAGAACAGAGTTTCAAAGGGTCTTTTTAATTGTTCCCATAGTATATGCAAGCACATCTGGTTTTGGTGTTCACAACACTATCTTGGCATTCAGCCTTTTGAAATTCTAGCTGTTAAAATCAATGGAAAACTTGTGGAGTCAGGAAAACAAAGGAGAAGACAAGAAAACAAACATATGCTTCCTTCACAATTACATTGCAGTGCTTAAAAGGTCTGCTTGAACCATCCTGTAAAAAGCCACTGGCAGGTGGCAGACAGATGGACAACAGGACACAGCCCAGACGTAGCTGCATAAGGAAGTGGCCCCAGCTCCTCCCCAGCTGTACTAGTACTCGGTGCTATGGGGATGTGCTCGAAAACATCCCGTTTCTTCCCAAGAGATCTGGTGGGGACCAGACAACGGCCTGTGCAGGGCGCAGCGGGGCTGGTAGGGCTGCGAAGGTGGAGCTGTGGTGAGTTTGCTGTGCACAGAGAGGTCGGAGTTGTGATCCCTGTGGGCATAGGGAGTTCCCTACTTGGAGCCAAAACCAGTTAGAGCTGTCCCTCCTGTATTCCCCAGTGATCAGAGAGGCATTGGGGTGGCACTTTTGGTAGCAGTGAAGGAGATCTGTTGCTGTTTGTTTTGTTTCTGATTGACTCTGGAAGCAATAGGAGAACAAGGAGATCCAATGCCAAGAGTGAGATAGAAACGTAATAAATACACTGACTCCACAGCCTTCACAAACTCCTTGTTTACTTCTGGCTGTAAGTTATTATCTCCTGTATGCTTTCCTTTTTTCATGTGAGCTGACAAAACAGTTGAAGATACTGTGTCTTCTTAACCATTTTTAACATTGCAAGTGGAGACCTGGAGGCACAGGATCTTCTGGTCTGTCTCTGCAATTCTCTGCTCCAATTGCTGAGTGCCCCATGATGTTGGTTTTCAGAGGGCAATGAACGGCTCATGCTTTCCTATACTGGGAACTATAGACCAGTCAATTAAGTGGTGGCACAGGAAGCTTAAAATGTTCAAAAAGAATTCAGTCTTGAAACATACTCCTAATGCTTTTCTGAACTCTTGAGCACCTTCAACTCCCTTTGATTTCCAGAAGCAGGAGATGTTTGTGTGTTTGTGTATGTTTCTGTAGAATAAGTCAGCCTTCATAAATTCCTTGCACAGTTTTTGTGTGCTTGTCCATGCCTACTTTTGTATGTGGCTCAAATACCAAAATTGCATACCTGAGTACCCATGTGAACATGCAACTGCAACCATTATAAGCAATCCTGCACAATTGCCTGCTAGGCTATATCTGAGCTATAAAACTCAATTCATGGGAAATTTGGGAGCACTGGCATACCAAACAGCAGCAGTAAAGAACCATTTTCTCTACGTAAAATGAATCAGACAGACAGATGTTGCTGGGAGTTTGGAGCATGTTCATGTGGTGGGCACCCACAGGAGTGCTCTTCCCTGCCTCCACCTACTGCAGGGGCAACTCAGCTTTTCAGTAATACTGTTGTCCCCAGAAAGCCTCCAGCATTCATTCCAAAAGATGATTAATTACATTACTGCTTCTATTTTCTCTTGCAAAATGAAGGAATTAAAGCAAGTGGCTTTACAAGCTGGTGGCTCTGTAGGGAGATGGACTGCATGACTTAACAGCCCCTTCCATCTTCAGCTTCCATGATTCTGTGAAAGTCAAATTGTTTTTACTGTGAAAAAGTTGCAGGGGAAGAACACTTACTTGTGTGGCTATGTCATGCTTTATTGCTATTGCTACATGTCCAGCTGGCAGAACCAGTGACTGGGATATTTACCCTGACATGCAAATAGCCATCTCTGAGCCCTGTGTGGCCATGGCTCTGCTGCTACAGTTGGCTGCTCAGCTAAGTCTGTGATCAGCTGCCCTTACAAACACAGATGTATGCTTTGCTGAATTTTGTTTTATCTTGCAGAAAACAAAGAATCTACAGGATTCCGGAGGAGCAAAGCCCGGGCACCATTGTTGCCAATATAACAGCTAAAGATCCTGATGATGAAGACTCTCCCAGCAGACTTTTCTACAGCATCCAGTCTTCTGACAGATATTTCTCCATAAATCCATGTAAGACAAACAAAAATGTGCCTTCTGACACCCCAAAAAAGAAAGTGGCTACTTTGGAGAAAATATTTTTGCCTTAGTTTTAAATTGACTTCTGTGGCTACCCCTAGAAATAAGAAATGCTCAGTACATTATTAGGGTCAAATTCTTCGGTCAGCTGACCGATATTCAATAAGATATCTTGAAGAAAGTAGACTAAAGGTGACTTATTGACAAATATTGACTTATGGCTGGATGGTGACAGTCCCTTGGGTGGAAGTAAGCTTAGCTGCCTTCATTCTAATTTCTGAGGACTGCAGTGACCCTTCTGGGGCTCTTGAAACAGCTGCACACAGTTAGACCATAATGTCCTCTCTCCTGCCTGAAATCTGCTCTAGCATTGAAGTGCACAGCAAATTTGCACCTCAGTTTCATTGCTCTATTCATGACTCTCCTCCAGCAAGGCCACCCGAAAGAGTCCTCTTTCTCATGCTGGTCCTGTCTCCCCATGCTCTCTGGGATGCATACACCAGTGCCCTGAGGTTTTTGCTCCAGGGCTGGCGATCAGCGGCTGCTTTGCTCCTTGTCTGCTCTTGCTTTAGAACTGCTTATCACAGCTGTAAGAGGTGCCACACAACACAGTGTTGTGGGGGATCAGGATGATCCTTAAATGCTTTGGATTCCCTATGTCCTTTGGCCAGGTATTGCCACCCTCCCCTTCAATTACACTCCAAAAGGCGGAGGATATATACACTGTTCATTTACCTTCTTTGTGCTCTGAGAATAGTACTGTGCTCTGCCACAAAAACCTTCTCTTTTTGAACAGAGGCTAACAGATGTGAAAAAAAATATTAAGTGAATGGCTGACCAGAGCACTTGGTGCAATCTGTGACAGCTAAGAGCAGCTCTGTTGATGTGTGAGTAGATTTAGAGGTGCTGAAGGATGCTTGAATGGTAACAGTAGAAAGTGAAGCTGTCTTACTAGCTAGAGAGCAAGGACAGCACAGGCATTAGTAGATCATTGTCCTTGATGCTCTGTGAGTGCACTAAGCTCTGACTTGCACTAGCTCTTTGAGAGCGTAAGGGAAATCTAACTGCTTTCCAAGCCCTCTGCTGACACCACCTAAGGCGTATTTTTGAGCAATGGGTATCTATCCATTAAAGTCTTACACAGAACTTTCAGAGCCATTTTATATCATTTTAAAAAATAACTAAACCAGCCATGATTTGCACAGAACAGAATACTTTTTATTCTGCTACCTGTATGCTGAGGTACCCTGTCCTCTTGCATGTACACTATGAGTGTTTGTTACTTCCCTCCATGGTGAGCATCTAACTTCTGGCTGCTTTCTGCCCAGTGACTGGAGTGCTGCAGGTGACTGGGAGAATCGACCGAGATGCCCTTCCGCTGCGGCTCCATCCTAACATTTCAGTGATAGTCCAGGTGGAGGACAGTCCCAGTGGCGGTCATGCGAGCGAAATGGAGATCACAATCATTATTGACGATATCAATGACAACCCACCAGAATGCAATCCTTCTACCTTCAGGTATTGAGGCTCTTCATTGCCTTAGTGCTGCCTTGTTGCCCCAGACCAGTGTGCAGTCTAGGGCACATCAGTTAAGGTCCCCAGACCTACTACAGCTAGAGGTTCAAATGGACATTTATCTTTAAGCCTTTAAAGGTTAGTGTTCACTGTAAGTGTCTTAGGGCACTCAATTTCCTGACATGTTCAAACTGGAAATTTGGACTGTGTATAGTCAGATACTTTATTTATCTTTCTTTCAGATACCTAAATCCTTAGGATATCAGAGCCATGAGTTACTTTTTTAACCCATACAGATCCAGGCTCCTCCTTTCTTACTTTATGTTAAACTGTGGGGGAATCATTCACCAGGGAAAGCTTGCCAGCCAGTTCTGGAGTTTTATTTTAAACTTCCTGAGCTTCTTTTCTCTCCCTGGTGACCCGCAGAGTTTTTGTCTAATGCAATCTGTAAGGTCTTCAGAGCCCAGATCACCTCTTGTTATAGGTGTCCTCTGTGCATAGTAACATAGTCATGGACTTTGCTATGGCTATGAATGCTCTGAGACCTTTGTGATGATCAGGTAGTTTATATTTGCAGATGAGGACATAACATTAACTCCATTTTACAGATGAAGTGTGTCATAGAAAGACTGAAGTCAAAATCGTCCATCTGAAGTGTTTGATGTGCCTGGGCTCTGATCTTTCAGGGTATACCGCATTGCATAGTGCAGTTCTTCAGGTGCACTTACAGTAGTTTGACAGTCCTGCAGATAAAAATCCAGCATCTCAGGTCAAGAACCTATGCAATGAGGAATACCCAGTTAGTGATTATCTGTTTAAATTCCTTGCTCACTATCTAATAGAAATGTCTTGCATTTAAATCACATACTTTTATATACTGGCAGGAAGAGAATCCAATTCTTCAGAGCGCTGCTTAGTTACAACATCCATGACAATAACACAACAGTCTCTTTGTTATCTAGTGAGCTTAAATTTTGATCTGAAGGAGGCAAAAATTTTCAGGGAAAAAATGCGATCAAATAAAGAACTAGTCTTACAGGGATTGCACAAGGGAACAAAATCAGGGCTTAATGGTATTTCAGTTGGTTCTTCCTTTTTTTGTATTTAATTCTCTTGATTAAAAAAAATTTAATCAAAACCCTCCACCCCCAATTCCATTACATGTGTCACAGGGACCCTCACTGTCAACAGCAGGGCCAGAAATGCTAGTTTCACAAAACAGCAGAATGGTCCAGCTATTAGTTAAGGAGAACAGAATGAGCTTCTCATCAAGAGAACATTGTAACATACTGAAGAAATGAATGTTGTAAAGATGTTTTAAAATACTATTTGTTAATCGAACTAATCTTGAACATTAAGATCTCGTGGCAGCTTCTGAAGTTTAGCCGAGTTCCAGTTTATGGTTTGGCTCTGGCTAAATGTTTATGTTCTGCCCGTTGTACAGGGCTGTTGTCCACCACAGCGTATGGATCAGATACTGGGTTGCTTCACCAACTGTTGCTTATTTAGATCTAGGATTTCACTTAGAAAATAAATAATTTTCTAAAAGAAATGTTTTAGCATGTAATATATTAAAAGTTCAAGAGGAGAAATACAAGTTGCTCTGATGCGAAACATGTTTGCTTTAAACAGGAAAGAGGCAAATGAAAATATGACTGCTGGGACATTTCTTCTTGATCTTAGAAATTACTGCAAAGATATTGATGTTGATCCATCAAACAATCGATTTAATTTCACTGGATTATCTGGTTTTGGAAGCAATAACTTCGCTCTGGAGTCCACTGTGCCTGGCAGACTTGTGGTCAGTCGTTTGTGGCCTTATTTTAGATTGTCCCATTTCAGAAGTCAACTTACGAAATATTATAAGTTCTTTGAATTCATTGTCTGTACAAGAAAAAAAGAATTACTGTAATTCATGTCACAGTGGGTATGATGTGGAGAATATCTGTTTTGACTGGGTGTGAACTACATACTCTTTGATAGGATGCTTTCTATGGATTCTACAGAATTTGGTGAACAGAGAACTGTTTTCTCTGGTTTTAAATAAATGTGCTAGATATGATGGGGAAAAAAAATCCTTTTTTAGGGAGTGTGAGGCACCAACTTTGATATGGATAAACAGAGAAATTTGATGCCATTTCATGACATTTATTCATGACAGACTGTGGAAGATCCTTGCTATTCAGCATGAAGAATTGAAATACTTGAGAAATCCCACACTCAGTAACTACTTCCCAGCTTCATTGGTCAGAATTGTAAAACCACTTTGATTGATAAATGTTCACAAAAGTGTGGTGGGATTTGCACTTGTGTTATTTTGCATGTCAAAATACGGGTTCCTTATGCTGATAGCTGCTGGCATATTTGCATTGGCAGAACCCCCACCAGTTGCTGGACTTGTGCAATGGTGGTTGTTTCGTCACTTTAAAAAGAACTGTGGACAAATATAGAAAAAGGGAAACATAACAAAAAATAGGCATTCTGTCTAAAAGACAAGAGTGCTACAGGAGCAGTAAAACAATTTTGTATGGCTTCCTTTAATTTTTGATCTGAGTTATACATGTCAATGAGCACTGCCCTTAGCTGCTTCATCTGCAAACATAAAAAGCATTTCCATTGCTGCACAGGATATGATTATTGTCAGCCCTTTGATCACCATGTATGTATAATGTAACAGGCTATCTGAAGTGTCCTGTCCCTGCAGGAATTTCCCTGTAGACAACAAAGAGTGAATGCTTGTGCTTTAGTTCTGTTGCCCCAGAGTTTATGAGGCTTCTACAGAAAGACAGGGAGTTCAGGAGATTAGGATTTAAGTCTGCGTGAGCCACCATTTAGTAACAACTTGGTTCCTGGATAAACACTTGTGGCTGAACCTGATACCTTTAACGCATGCCTGCAGGCATGAGCTCAAGGAGTAACTATTACTATTTAGCAATAGCAGATTCTTGTTGAGCCAACAAAGGGCACAGCAAATAGCCAGCTCATTACATACTCTTCGAATTAACCATGTAAAAGGCCAAGACCTTATGATCCAAATGATAAAACTTCTTGCACTTAAGGGGAAGATATTTTGTTGGCAGAAGGAAAGAGTTTTGAATTGCCAAGAGACACCAGAGCGTGAACATGTAGAAAAAGCCTGGAATTCAATCCTGTAATTGATTAATAGCCTATATTACTCCTACAGAACAATTCTATATATCCAAGGGGGAGACCATTCTTACAGAACACTGAAAAAAGTAATTGCCATCCATGTGTATTGTGACTTTATGTAAGGAAGTATAAATACAATTGTGTTTCTTTTTAATTTAGATGACTGAAAGTATTGATTTAGAAAACCCAGCTAATCTAGGAGTTGAAGTTTATTCTTTGACTGTCAGGGTGCAAGATATTGCCTATCCTAACTACTCAAGCAAGTATCCCTTTTACACTTTTGATATTTTCCTGTGCCGTAACAGCATGGAGAAAAGAATACCATATGTATTTTGAATATATGCATGAGAAAATTTCACAGCCATACTTAACTATGATTTAATCTTCTGTTATATTTCCAGATATCATCTACATTTACATCAGGATAAAGCCAGTGAATGAATTTTTTCCAGTCTTCAGTAATTTATCATATGAATTTAATGTTCCAGAAATTACTAAAGGTACAGTAAGCAGCACCTACATGATAGAAATAACGTTGTCATGTTGATAAGTACCTTTTTGCTCAAATGGATTTTCAAATATATTTGAATGAGGAGAATGACTCAAAGTTCCAGTTCAACCAGGGTCTTACTGTACAACCACCTACTACCCTTAAATAGACAAAACTGGCAACAACTCCAGTTGTACAGATGGAAGCTGAGACACAGACAAATTCAGCAATTGCACAAGAAATCTGTGACAGAGCCAGAAACTGAACTCAGATGTCTTGTTTTAGGCCGTCTTTCTGCTTTTGCTAAATTAGCCTTTTGGAGGGACTGTGATGGTGCAGAGAAACCGCTATAGACTGCCACAGACAAGTGAGGACTCCCTTGGCCTAGGCATGGTGCAGGATGGCCACCCCACTGTCCCCTTAGACCTTGGGTGCAGTGGGTACCCTGGAGATGGGGTGGGATGGGAGCACTCGGAGGGGGAGGCTTCACTCAGCCAGACGGCAGCCAGAGCAGCTCCTCGTGCCCAGAGCCAGGGTCCTTCCCATTCCTGCAACAGCCCAGGACCAGCGGCTGCAAACGTGGCCTTAAAACTGAATTTGTTGAAACTGTTCACATGCTTGACTGCCGCCTCAGCACCCTTCCTGTCCCCTGGTGAGTCCTGCATCTCATGAGTTTGCAGAGCAGTGCCACGGCATCTTGCCTCCTTGGTAATCCTCATGTGCCAGGTGCAGCTGCCAGCCTGCTCTGTGCTGTGCTGTGCTGCTTGGGGTGCAAAGGAGTTGGCATGGGAGTGGCATCTTCTCCAGCTTCAGCCTCTCCCTCATACGACCCAATGTACCAAACACAGGCCTTCTGTCCCAGGACCTCACTTACTGGCTTTATTCTGTTGGCTGAGAAAATATTGAGAGATCTATTAGATACATGCTGGATAAATCTTGACCCTCATTCTGGACTTCCTAGGGTCACAGAAAAACTGAAGCTGTAAAGGGACCTCTGGGGGTCTCAAGTTCAACTCATGCTCAAAGTGAAGCTAGTTTCAAAGTTAGGTCAGGTTGCTCAGGGCCTCGTCTAGTTGAATTTTGAAAATCTCCAAGAATGGAGACTCCACAGCCTCTCTGATCCCTTGTTCCAGCTAAGCAACCTTAATTCCAGGTAATTTTACCTTGCACCCAGCTGGAATTTCCTGTGTTGCAGCTTGTGTCTGTTCTCTGTTGCCCTTTCACTGTCCCCTTCTGAGAAGAGTGTATCTTGGTCTTTTGTATTATCGCCCTTTAGGTAGTGGAGCAAAGCAATTAAATCCCCTCTTCACCTTCCCTTCTCCAGCCTGAACAAACCCGGCCTTATCAGCCTCTCCTCCTGTGTCCTCTTCTCAACCCCCTGACATCTTAGTGGCCCTTCCCAGCCTTTCTCCAGTTTGTTAGCATCTCTCTTGTACCTGGGCCCCCAAACTGGTCACAGGTAGCTTTATGAGTGCTGAGCAGAATGGAGTAGTCACTTCCCACCATGTGCTGGTAACACACTTGTTAATATAGCCCCAGTATGCGGTCTCCATTCCCCCAAGGGTGCCCTGGTGGCTTATGTATAACTTGTCCACCAGGGCCTGGCGTCCATTCCTGCAGAGCAGCTGCCTGCAGTCAAGTCCCAGCCTGCGCTGACGCATGGGCTTGTTCTGCCCTAGGTGCGGGACTTTGCATTTGTCTGTGCTGAGCTCCATGAGTCCTGCTGGCCCATAGCTCCAGCCCGCTGGGCCCCTCTGAACGGCAGCCCTGTCCTCCAGCACGTCCAACATTGCCCCAGGCTGCTGTTACAAACCTGCCCAATGGCCACGTCACCGAGGAAGATGTCCAACTGCATTGCTGCATCTGAGTGGAACATGGTGAAGCTGCCCATGAAACTCCAGGAGATTTAGCAGCCAGATAATCTAGAATCTGCTTGAATTCATCGAATTATTCTGGCCAGGGCAGGTTCAAAACATAGGCGAAGGCAGCAGTGGCTATGGTCAGCAGACCTGTGGGCTCTACGGTGCTTCTGTGTCCATTTGCCTAAGCCAGGAGGCAGGGGGTGAGGGGAGGAAAAGGCATGCTTCAAGCAGCCCTGCCAGCCTAACCACAACCTCCTCTCCCTTGCCATGGGCAAAGGAGCAAGCCCAAATTTCCAGCCTTCACCCTCAGCTCTCTGTTTTCTTCCTTCTCTGGTCAGGAGGATCCTGCCAAGGTCCACAGGTCTGCAAAAATCACTCCTGCCTGCCCTGTGGAGAAGCTGTCATCGGCCACTGCTGAGTATGGCGAAGCTGCAGCTGGTGTGGGGATGGCCTGGGAGGGAGCTGGAGAGACTGGGGAGGCAGGAAGGGGGGGCTGGCTCCCAGGGCGTTCTGCCTGGCAGAGGGGCCCTGGCAGCCCTGGCCCCTGCAGGAGCCAAACTGCCAGGAAAGCAAGGAGAGCTAAGGGGGGACAAGAAGGCACAGGGCGGCCACTCAGCAATCAGAGGACCTCGACCTTCAGGTGTTCATACCAGTGCCTTGCATTGCTCAGCAGCCTGTTGTTCTTGCCCAGCTTTTATTTCTATGGTGAATGGATGGAGCTTGGCTTTCTACACTGTTTCCCAGTGGATACGATGCAGTGAATTCTGTGGCATTTCCTATTCTGTGTGTGTCTCCTCATACCACTGACGTGTACCTTAGAAATGTAATACTTGAAAACCATCTGTGACATGGATATGTCTGTAAACCTCTCTGTGTTGGCCACACAACTTTGCTGGATACTGAGACTATCAAAAGAAATGTTTTTTGGGCTCAGACTGCCTTTTATTTTGGGCTGAGTTGACATTACCAGGGTGCTTACTATTGCTGTACCAAACAGGAGCCAGCAGTTTGCAGTAGGGCTGGAGTTCACAGGGTCAGGAAAGAAAAAATAATGCCAACCCTTCACTTACATCCTCCTTCTGTCTTACTCTGTGCATGCGGACTATTCATCCTGAACATCCCTGGGTCATGTGGATGCATTTAGCATTGAATCAATGTCTGCAGAGATGGGTGTGCACAGTCCCATCTTCGTTTTCACAGTTTATAACACTGCCATTTGTCGTTCGCTTCATAAATGCTCAGCACAAAGGTAATTCAAACCACCTTTCAAACACCTCGGAAGGAACAGCAGCAATTGCTTTTCAAAGCAGACAAAGACCCTTGTTCCTCCAAGCAAGCCAGCGCTCGGGCTGCCACAAGGCAGGAATTCATGCGTGTCGGTGCAGGGCTTGGGGTAGCCCTCACCGCCAGAGCACTTCTGTTGTGGTTCTCTACAGACTCCTTGTTTTAGTATTTGTTGCTAGCAGGCAAGCCCATACACGGGGGAGCCATAGCACGGCATGGTGAACTAGTATTTCTCACACCTTTGCTTTACTTTTTTGGGGTGAAAAACTCTAAAACAATTCTTTAGTTCGGTTTCATCAAGTTTTGCTTGGAACAAGTACTCTGTACTTCCTTTTCCTTAAAATGTTAATGAAATACG